GTCTTTTGGTGTACACTGTCTCGATGAGCTCGAATACAAAGAAGTGAAACAGTCAATCGGTGTTTACATCGCTTCGAGTTGTTTAGAAGGCACTAACTACTATTTGGCACGGATAGGTTCCAACTACTCATATAAGTTTGCAGTATATATTTAAAGAATGTCTCAAAGATCGGGAATTATTGTAAACAAAGGAGCGTTAGTCAGCTATTTCGTCCTAGTTTGAAATTGTTCACCGGTGCGATACCCTGAATCCTTCCAGGAGTCAAACACAGGATCGTTTGGATTACAAGGTTGACATTGGTGGATCTTAACCTTGGATTTCGTCTGTGGTACCCATATGATCCCATTGTTTCGTAAATATTTCAAGGGTTAGTTTGTAGGGTTTTCATTTATTTCAAGTTTGATCACGAATCGATATCACCGAAGTATTTGAAGTGATGATAGGGGTAAGATAAGGATGTCGACTGCCACCAATGATATTCCGAACTGTGGCGGACTGGACTATACAACATATCATGAGGAGCCAGGAGACAGGAATACATTAGGCTGACAAGATTTCGCGCGTGATTTATGTCTCATGTTACACAAACTGAAAGATCTGCAGGTGAAAACCAATAAACTGTCAGTAGAAGAGACAGGTAGCGAACATAGAACATCAGGGGGACATAGAAAAGACAGAGATGATGAAGTTACTTAACCACAAAAACAAGATCAGCAAACATGAATCATTAACAGATGGAGAAATTTGAAGTAGGTCACCACTTTCACTTATCTAAGTAGCACCGTTTCAGACACCGACTGTAGAGATGAGGAAATCCAGGCAAGGAATGGAAGCACAAGGTTCACATTCATTATTCGGAAATCAGTGTGAAAATCTATCGCATTAAGCATAAAGAATAAGATTCCGATTCTCAGCAATAATATCAAATAATAAAGTAATAAATCTAATCCTAAAAAACCAACTCTTGAAAATTAATCTGATGCTCGCTAGTGACTTGCTACAGGACAGGGTTTCCTGGAGTCCTAGTGAGAAGCCGTGACCACTGAGGTCCAACCGTTCAAGTGTGAGGATAGATTTCCCACCAGTGACATTGTTTAGTTCCAGTCGCGCCAAATCACGAATGCGTAGAAGTTAGAATTCTTGGGTTGGCCATTGAATCGGGTCCCAGTTTCTGAAAGGTATACGAGCTTGCCTTGTAACTGAAGGGTCCTGTGTTTGAACCCAAGTGGGTGTTTACTGCCAATGATCCCCGAATTAGGATGAAACAGCTGTCTGACAGTACTCCATGGTGGTTTTCAATGGTTCGCTAACTGATGTCAATCCGCGGTCAAACTCGTAAAAACAAAACTAATCCTTACAAACCAGCTCTTGAAAAATATCAAATTCGTGATTCTATATGACTCAGAGACTTGCCTTGCGCGTCACGAAAACATTTTCCAAAAGGACACTGCAAACTTTAACCAATGACTGTTTTTACTTAATATTGAAGATCAGATATGAAAAAAAAAGATTAGCAACCAGAACTCTGAAAGAGAACTAATCAGAATTTATTGTCCAACCAATTTGCCGATGAAAGTGGAGGTTTATTGGATACAGTGTGAGGAGACCATTTAGTGACACTACGCTTCATGTCCTAGAGTGGAACCTGAATGAAAAACGACAATTCAGGTATCCTAGGATGAAATGTTGGAGTTCGTGTAGAGAGTTGGAAGCTTATGGACAATCGTAAAACCAGATGAAGAGGATTTCAGGGGACACAATTGAATGAACACGCGCCAGTGAAGCCCTGTGTCACATTAAAAACACAAAGGGAGTAATAATAATATGTTGAGGGAAGTCAATCAACAGTAGGCCCTCAGATAACACTTCATCCTTGAACGACACAAATGCGTTATATCATGAATTCACTGAAGTCGGAAATCACGGAATAATGTTTTCTGACCTATCGATTGAATAATTCCCGTAACTAACTAATTCGCTTTACACTACTCTAAATAGTTAGTTAAATATTAAATTGATATATTGCTAATGGAATTACTGATTTATTTCCTCAAAATATGAATTGATTACTGTCTCTCACCTGTGTATTCTTCACTTTAAGGTTAAATGATTAAGTGAAGTGTTTTTTTTGTAATCCTCTCTTGGAAAATAAACACCAGTAATTAAAATCAGTTTTTGATTTCTCCTCTGCTCTTAATCTAATACGTCTGTAGGATGCTTTTTACAAAAACAGAAATCTAAAACAATTAGTCCCTTTTATAAATTTTGATAGTGTTGTTACAAGACGGAGCTTATCTGAAAAATGTGATATATTGGCCCTCTATAAGAGATATTTAGATGATATCATTTTGATATTCGACGATCATGAAGATGCGAGTCGTCTATTAGACAGACTTAACTCTGTACAGAGTCATATTAGTCTTACATGCGAGGAAGGAAGTCGCAACCAGCTAGCATTTTTAGACATACTTCTGAGTCGAAGAAATGATGGTTCAATAAGAAGGTCAATCTAGAGAAAGCCCACTTGGACAGGGCAATACCTTAATTTTCACAGTTTCTGTCCATTACAGTATAAGAGAGGCTTGGTGAAGTGTCTATTTAAGAGGATTCAGCGTATTTATACGGCTGATGTTATAGACAAAGAAAATGAAGTACTGATGGATATACTTGTTGTAAACGGATACCCTTTAAAATTTTTAAACAGGTGTAGAAGTCAATTAGTCTCTAAACCCACAATCTATACCGCCCTTAAGAAAAAGGTTTTCATCAAATTACCATATAACGGGGAAATAAACAGTAGGATTTTGAGACAAAGGTTGGATTCGACCAACCGTAGAACCTACTATGCAGCCCAGCTTGTAATTGTGGGAAAAGCTAAAAATATGCTTCACTTCAAACCTCAAAAGTGCACAAGTGATTATAGCACATCTCACACAATTTACCAATTTTCGTGTGTGTATGTGGTTATACCTACATAGGGAGGAGTAATCGCACTTTGCACGTGACGGTGGGAGAGCATATCACATAATGGCCAGAAAAACAAATGACTTGTGAAGACCAATAGATGCAGGTGTCAGACTACAAACTTCGTTTATAGCTTAACATCTAATCGAGATGAACCATTAGATTGATGTTAACTCAGCCTTTAAGGTCATCTATAAAAACGGTCAACGGCGCTTATTGAACTACGCTGAGACTATAGCTAATCATAAACTTAAGCACCTCCCTGTGTATTCAAAAACAGTTTATTATTACTCTTAACCCGCCTACCTTGGTAATCCTCATTTGATTGGATTACCAAACGTATGTGTTAATTATACTTAATTCTTTTTTGTCACTTTGTTTAATTTAAATTTTCCATATATATTGACTTGACAAGTAAGTGTGTGATCAGATTGTTCGAAATGTGTGGCGCCAATACATCACATTTTTCAGATAATCGCCGTCTTCTGATAAAGCTATCAAAAAAGGAGAGAAATGACTTCTCTTATCGATCACATCTACCAAAGAACATGTGTACTGAGTAGCAGCTCCATCTGTCATTCTTGATGTCTATGTAACACTGTCGTGAAAGTGGAAGACATTGAAAAGACCAATTGTCTTTGGCCACAGATGTTTATGCTTTATATCCAGTATTCAGTTGTAAAATATAATGCACAATATTAAGGTTAGCTTTAGGCCGTCACGTGAGGATGATAAGTCGCCCGATGACTTTGTGAAGGTGAATCGATTGAAATAGCTAAGACAGGTATCAGAAGTGTCTTTTGGATTTCTGTTTTTCTACCTTTGTGTGCTATATGTAGTGCAGCAACTTGAATTAGGGCACTTCTGTGCGAAGCTCTATGCTAATACTTCAATCATCACAGGTGCACTATCAAAACATAGGAAAAAGAATTAACCAACAAGGAAGTTTGTCAACTAGTCAGTGGGCGATACCTGCCATCTGTCGCATAAAAAGTTCAATAAAAATGTGCTCTGATCGTCATGAGTAGGGACAGGGGGAATAGGATATGAACCCATATCTGATTGGTTGAAAGTTGAGTCGTTACAGAAGTGAATCACAAAGCACACGAGTGTATATTTATTACGAAGTACTATGCGAACTATTCTTAACATCCCTTAGAGCTAAATTAGGCAGCCGAATTCTTCCAACATGACTGAAGCCATTAGTCTAGGTGAGTATCGATTGTGGTAATATTTTTGTCTGACTACCTATAGCTCTTTTTCATATGCATCTTATTTTAGCTAACTGTGCCTGTAGAAGAAGGTAACTGCCTCACTTGTGTATCACACATCCAAGCAACCTCCGTCGAAGGAAATTCACAGTTTCAATGACTTACCTACCATTCCTAATCAAAACCCTATAATTAATCGAATACTATTACTTCAGTTAACACGAACAGCACATGCATACATACATGTGTATTTATATACATGTTATGTATGCACAGGAATAGTATCTGAAAACTGGAAATCTTTTATATACGGGGAAATGTCACTCACACCAGATCGGGTGTAATGACAGATGCTTACTGATATCATTGGCTGGAGGTGCCCCTAAAAATCACGAATTCATCGAAGTTGAAATTCATGGGCCGACCATTGGATCCTGTTTCAGTAGCTTAACGTCTGCCAAGTTCGTCTCACGACCTGAATGTCTTTGATTTGGTTCCTGATGGGGCCATGGATATATACCATTGAAGAGTCCCACAATAGGACGAAACATCTGTTCAGCACTTCATGGTCTTCGGTGGTTCTGTGACTAATATCCGACAAACAGGGCAAGTCAGTCAATGAAGTTGAGAAAATTAATTGATCAAGATGGCTAGGACACGTGTCACTCCTTCTAAGCCATCGCTCTCCTTAACAACCAACGTTAGCTGAAGCCTGAAGGCCTACTTTCCACTTGGACGTCAAAGAAATGAACAAAAAATGAATACACTAAACAAAAGTCGAATAAAGTATGTATAGAGAGAGAAAGACAGACACGTGGACTTACTTTACACAACGATGTATGATACGGTAAATGATCATAGTACTCTGCAGCAATCTCTTTCAACTTCGGTAAACGTGTATATGCAATATACGGAAAATCATGATGTTCAACATGATATCCCAAGTTATACATTAAATAATTCCCACTTCCATAGTATGAATGCGTTGCTTGATTATCAGCAAATAGATAGTGTTCACTGATAAAATGTCCAGATAATGGATGTAATCCTAATCCAAGTAGTGTACCAATAATTAAATAACCTAATGACCATATACCTAAATAATACCATACAGCTATATTGAATGTAATTTGTACAAAAAAGTTTATAATCTCCCATACTGTCAACGGTAATGGATTTTTTATAAATGGTCGAAATGCATAAAATGCTGGATGAATAATAATCCATATAAGTCGACTGACAGGATGTGTAAACAGTCTGGCTTCAAGACGTAATGGCATATCTGCATCCCCGTCTTCATGACCTAACCATCTACGGAAAAGAAAAAGAAGAAAGAAGCAGACTAAATGTAAGATGAGGGGAGAGTATCTCAAATGTGATTACATCGTAGAATACATTTGTTCAATGAAATATTAGTAGCAATCACATTGATAATGTAGGGCAGTCAAATCTCCAAGTAACTTTTATTATCATCAGGTTGATGGCTACAGAATCTACTACTCTGCTGATTAATACAACATTTTCAAGTATTGGCTTGCAGAGATCTGGCTGTTTTCAGGAAAGTTAACGAATCTATGTCAGTTGGCGAATCACAGTTGAAAACCGCGCAGTACTGGACTACTGTACCGATCTACTTTGAAACTCTTCAGTGGTGGGGAGAACCAGGTCCGGTTTGAGGATAAATATTCATCGATGACAATACCTAACGGTGGCACTATAAATCGCGAGTTGACAGACCCCCATTGAAGTAACCGAATGGCCGATGACCTTGTCGCGTAACACGAAGGTTTAGGGTTGAATGGTTTGAGGAATCGGTGGTACCTGCAGTTGAAGAGTTTTAGACTAGGACGATAACAAATATCCACTACAACCTACTGGTTTTCAATGGCTCTCTAACTGATATTGACCCATGGTCTTACTTGAAATAATACACTGGGATAGTTATTTCGTAGGCCAATAACGATGAGCACCAATCACTATCAGCAAAGAAATTTGAAAGACATCACTTCCTTCACTTATCTAGGAACCATCGGTCCAACTAAAGGCCGACGGCACACATGAGGATATCAAAACCAGGGTCAGAAAGGCAAGGGGGGTCATCATCACTTTGGAATCAGTTTGAAAATCCTCTGCACCCAGCATGAAGGACAAAATTCGGATTTAGAAACCAGTGTTAAGTGGGTGAGCTCTTCTATATGGGTCAGAAACTTGTTGTGTCATCAAAAGCATTTCTAAAAGACTGACGTGAACTTTTATCAACAACTACTTTATCTTCATATTGGAGGTCATATGGCAGGGAAGCATTAGCAACAGAGAACTTTGCGGACGAACTGACCAAGAGCCTATTGCTCATCAAATATTCCGAAGGAAATGGAGACGAATCAGACACACGCTGAAGAGATTGTCAGGTGATATCGCGCCAGGTCATCGCTTGAGTAGAACCCAACTGGGAAACAACGAGTTGGGAGCTGACTCGAAAGTGAGATGGAGGAGATCATGAGAGGGGGAGAAGGTGAAAGCTTATGGGCAATCGTGGGGACAGCTAAAGAGGACTGCGCAGAACAGAATGACATTCAGGTGTGCTGTTGAGGCTCTATATTACAGTCAAAACCCAAAGAAATGATAAAAATATGATAATAATATTAATAGTAATATGACGAGCTAGTGACTCAGTGCTCACGAGTTACCAGTGATTCTGCCTTACTGACATCGACTCTTGAAGATTAGGACACTGAGATCAATCAAATCTTGACAAAATTAATTTATAGTTCACATTTAATCAGTAATTATGTGGATTTAATTTAAGTAGTCTTTCAGTTTGACTTCCGGAGGTACCTAACGGCATGGACAGAGTGGCATGGAGGTTATTTCATCAAAAATATAACACCTTTTACACTGAAATTAAACTGACCGATGCATAGGACTGTATACTACTGATTTACTGGGATGACTAGTTCTATACGCTACTTATATGAATCAGTAGTGCTTGCTAGCCAGCCAGATCGAAGTGATGTCTAAACACGAGTCCGGCCGTTTCATTTGTCCAGGGTCGAACTCATCAACTGTGTAGCCGGTTCGACTTACCAGGTTGGGTGTGAAGATAAATACTCGCCGAAGACATGAGCCAGCGGTCGCAATATGTTGCGAATCGGCAGAAGTTGGAATTCATGAACTGCCTATTGGATCGTTTCTCAGTGGCTGCTGAATGGTCTGCGAGCTCGCTAGTCTTGTGACCAGAAGGTCCTTGGTTCGAACCTCCTCTGGTGGGTGCGTACTGATCAAGAGTCCCAAACTAGGATAGAGGAAACAGCTAGCTATCCAGTACTCCTAGGTTTTCCAATGGTCTTCTAACCGATGTCAGCTCATGATGAAATCCCCTGACAATCAATCAAAATCACTAGAAACCAATACTCGAGAATAATTCTTTAATTATTACGGTCATGTGGTTGAAGAAGCTGACGAAGGAGAAGTTATCGGATAGAATATTCTTCGTTCATCACTTATGAGTTTTTTAAATATTACATAATTAGCAAATTAACTTACCTATGATGTGCTTGATGATATTTTTTATATGATATAGCAATTGGTAAACCCATTGGTAAATTAATAAATATTGAATATATACGATTCGCTTTACCATATTTATGTCCAAAGACTAAATTATGCCCAACTTCGTGTATAGCACAACCAAGTGAATGATTAATTGTTCCACTGATTACATAAGTTAATATTAACCATGTTAACCATGATGGTTGATAATATGATATTAGAACAGTCATTATCAGTTGTATAAGAACTTCTGCTGAACTCATATAAGCAAGTTTAATATCTGGTCCCATTAATGCTTTAATTTCTGGATATTTGGCTAATATTTCCTATATATTAAGAAGGAAATCAAAAAATTAATATTGATATGAGAATGAGAAAAGCAAAATACACTCGTAGAGGTAATTCATACAAAGACGCAGTGTAATAAACCTCTTCTTCTTTACTCCTCGAGTTCCACGCGGAACAATTGAATTTTGAGTAACGGTGGTATTGTAGATGCAGATCTTGGGCACTGCGCTATAGAACAACACAGAGTTTTACACTGTTAATAACCGGATAACTTGCCGAACACAGTTTACGCGGTGTCTTTTGTAGCCTAACTCTCAAAGTTGCATTTTTTTCGGACTTAGCATTGGCCAACAAACTAGGAGAGCTTAACGAGTGCACAGGCGTCCCTGAATCGATATCTAGACTACTTGCACAGTTGGCGAGTATTCTACTGGTGAACCACAGAATCACATCATCATGCACTGGTGTTATCTAACGACTTAGGAGCAGATCATAGAATTGTGTCTACCAGATAGGGGAAAATCACCAAAGATTTTTCGACAGAGTAAGGAAACGTGAATATCGAGGGATAAGAGAAATATCACAATGAACTAAAAACCTGTATCCATCCAGGTTAAATATAATGGTGACAACACTGCAGGTCTAATCAGCAGACGATTTGAAAAATCGCTGGTAAAGATATTCCCTGCGGCTAGACTGATTGCTGTGTACCAAAAAGAATGTCAGAGAGTTCAGCCAAAATTTGATAAATATCCTTCCGTTGTTAGCTCCAACGGTGTTTATCAGTTTACGTGCAGCTGCCGAAGCAGACATATTGGAAGTGCATATCATAGATTTTCTGAAAACATATTGATTTGTTGGAGGATTTCATCATGAGCTGACATCGGTTAGAGAACCATTGGAAAACCTGGGAATACTGAATAGCGGCTTCTCCCTAGCGCCTTAATGGTCTACGAGCTCGCTGGCCTTGTAAGCAGAAGGTCCAGAGTTCGATCCCCCATGAGTGCGTACTGATGAAGAGTCCCAAGCTAGGCTGACGAAACGGCTGTCCGGCACTCTGAGCTGGTTTACCGATAGTTTTCTAACTGCTGTCAGCTCATGATGAAATCCTCCAACCAATCAAATAAAATATAGGTATAAAATTTGAGCACTGTGGTAGAGCATAACTCCATTATAGATAAGGTTTTTACTTTGATAAATCTATAATGGAATTATAGATAATATTTTATTTTGATGAATCACACAGTATAATACAGTAGTATTAAATGATGACATTTAAAGTACAACCTACTGCTCATAATCATATCGGGATTCTAACACTGACGTGAACACAGGCAGTAATTTTGCTCGAAATATTACCAATACTAAAAACTTATCATTGTGTGTAAACCATTGAAATAAAATTATACCTTATTTGATCTATTCCGCAATGCTCAAACTTCTTATTGACATTAATACTGATTTGTCTGGAATCAAAAATAAGTAAATCACTCAACGGTATAGCGCAATCACAAGACAGCTAACTGACACAGGACCTCAGGCAGACATCTTGAATTCTTCCAGAACAGCAAACCAAATAATCAAGCCAAGGTCTTTTGAAGTTTGCAGAGGCCATAGCTAACAAATGATCAAAACCTGACTTGTGTATTTGAAAGAAGCTGCAGTTATTTTCAGAAGCGGTGATTTTCGTCCTTTATGGGGTGAGACTATTGGCTTCACGCCCAACCTTCCCTACTTTCCAGACTTACTACTGGCTAGGCGAGGATTAGAAGTACGTGGGCGGGGAATCGAACTGCAGATTATATGTATGTTTGGTGTCCATACTATTGCTGAACCACCAACACACATGCTGACTAGCAAGGATGTAACTATCGACACAAAGAGTAAATTAAATTTACGCCACAAAATTTCAGCCTCAAAGACAGCACTTCTAGTCAGGATGTCAGTAAAGTGACTTAGAAGTGACTGAATACAAATCTATTAGGATCACTGGAAAATTTTCTCTGGACTTCTATGGATCTATTGCTCTTTCGAATTGATTGTGAACTTGTGTACGAAAATACGATTGTGCAGCTTTTGAAGATGAAACTGTAGAAAATTTCCTTCTCCTGAGCCGCTTTTTTCTTTCTCTTATGTCCTGATAGATTTTTTCTTCTGTATGAAAAAGTAAATGTACTACTTGAAACCAAAGCAACTCAAAGTGTTAGCACGGCACTCTGTCATATTTGTCAGAGTGAATGAGAAAGTTTGCTTCCCGGAAGACTCTGCATTAAGAATTAAAAATATTCTGAATCGTTTTAGAAGCCAGTCTGTAGACATCAGACATCACTGCTGGCCTCATCAATGTGTATTTATCAATTCACCTGCTCGTGTGGAACCAGGTATGTCAGCGGTACCCAGCGTTCGCTTTCCAAACGTATTACCGAACACTTACCAAGATGGTTTTACAAAGAAGAAAAACGATGTCCCCACAGCTCCACCTCAGAACATCTGATAGAATCCGGACACCAAGCTACACCCCAGATAAACTTCAAAGTCGTCTACAGAGTAAGAAGTAGTCTTCCTAAAGGTGTACGAATCAGACTTCCTCAAACTGCAGAAACAATGGCGATTCACTTGCTAAGTCCTGAACTCTGCATACAGAAGAAGTTCGTTCAATCACTAAACTTGCAATGGACGTAATCTATCTTATTACCCGACAAGTAAATTCTACCTGATCTTTTTTTTCTGTCTCTTTATTGGTATTATTCTGTCTTCTCAATTGTAATATTTTACATATTTAACTTTCTTGTTCTCTACCCGCACCCGATATAATTCCTACACCTCACTACCACTGTTACTGACTTGACCAACGCTCAATTCCTAGTCATTTATGTTAAGTCATCAAACTTATTTGCCTAATTTTAGTTCTAATTTAAATGGTATTATTTTCTACCCACTTCTACTTAGTCTCTACCGGTAATTACCTCTGTTGCTACCCTGACCTAAGTTGAAACATTTTAGTCAATTATATTACGTCATATAACTTACTAATTCAATCCTACTTTAGTTGCTGTCTGAAGAACCTTGTTTCTTTATTAGATCAATTATCTAAACTTGACAAACCCCATGTACACATACACACAAACAATTATATATAAATGCGATTGTACGACTTTGTGAATGAATTCCCAATCGAAAAGAGTCTCTTCGCTGAACGTCTTCTCTTCATCATACATATCCCAACTCAAAAACTCTTCGGCACCACACCGGAAATTTTGCTGATTCTTTAAGTTCATATAAATTCGAGTTACAGTGAAACATACTCCCGATATCTTCTGCTCTTGATGAATCATGTTCAAGTGAAAGATAACTGTTTAATGAGTATTTTACCATGGTAAGGAATAGCGAAGTCGACAACGTTCAGGCAAACAACAAAAGCCTTAAACCTTGTTGATAGAATCGCTGCTTTTGGTAATGAAACTTTGAACTGTAAGTTCCAGCACCAACAGATTTCTCACATATTTTCAATACAGAAAACTTTCTTAAAAAAAATTAATAAGAATGTGGCTCTACAGTGATCGAAGAACACAGTGGGAATGGTTTCAAAATAAAGATATAATGAATGATATGTAGCCTTCAGAATCTTTATGATATATATATATATATAAGCTTACAAAATCTCTTTACTTCATCCAGAACAAAGAATCCAATAAACGAAGAAAGCTTTAATTTAAATCATACAGAAAATTACAGACAAATTAAACAACTTTTTTCCGTCTTAATCTCTCTTAGTATCAGTTAACAGTCAACAGGTACTATGTAGACTGTTTCTAACTGAAGATGAAAATTCGATGAAAATAGTAGTCAAATTTTGAGTGGATGGTACTCGAAGAACATTAGATGAAATGAAAAACTCAATATTGAAGCAGTCAGACATACTGACAGTGACCTAATCTGTCTAATGGATGAAACTAAGTGCACAGTCAACGCGATGTGACCACATCAAACGATTTATGGACATCTGAGACAGTAGACAACATGCTACTAAAAGACCGCTAGAAACATTTACACAAACAAATTCCTTCTGAAACTGTTAATGTTGATGATATGTGGGTTGGTGGCACAGCGGTAGAATGCTTGCCAACCACGCAGATTGTTCGAGGTTGGGTCCCCGGCCGACACACTCCTTTAACTCGCAAAGCCAGTAGTAAGACTGGTAAAGAGGTAAGATTGGGCATGGGAGTAGCTGAAACTTCAAGCCTCTAGCATGAATCCCTATGCTTCACTGGGAAAGTAAAGGAATGAAAAAATCCCGTGCGTCGGTGGTTCGGCAGTCGATTACTCGCCAACCACATCTTGCGTGATCCGAGGTTCGATACCCGGCCAACATGCCCTATGTACCTCAGATAGCTAATACTAAGCCCAGTGAAAATGAAAGGGTTAGCTTGAGTCTAGCAACTCCACCTAGTAAAAAAGTACAACCACTGTGGTGAGAGCTGGCTGTTAGCCAGAATTGGTGGACAGTAATTTACGTCAATGTTTATGTCGCAAATATTGGTCGTGAGAAAAATGAAAACAAAGGCTTTGCGTAGACGGATACGGTTAACATATAGATGATCTGACATTCAACAAACAGTCACAAAGAGGTGCAAGGTTAACTTTCAGTGAGAAACAACCGATCAGAGGACTGTGTTTTTCTGATAACAATAATCTATAATATGTACATGAAAATCTATAAATATGTGTTGATTTCCTGAATAAACGATCTGTTGCCTGGCCCTTGTCTTTTGTTGTTACACCGCTACTGAAACTTCAAAGTTCAAGCCTGAAGTCTACTCGGAACGAAAAGGAACAAATTTAAAAAAGAATGACCATCTGACTCAGAGAGCTAAACATCACTCGAATCACTGAACTGATACCGTACAAATAATCTTAATAATTTCAAAGTTGGCTCCACATATTCTTCTTCATACTTCAGAGCTTACCTTTCTTCTAGCCACATGTGGTTCTTCATCATATACCCATTCATCTTCATCATTATTTATTCGAAATATGTAAGTAACTCCTTTGAAGAAAGTCCATCCACTTATTGTCACTAGATTAAGGTAAAATGAAAATGATAAAGCAAACAAAAGATCATAGTAACAAGTAACATTAATATCAGTAAAAAGTTTAAGCATTATGGATCAGATCAAATAAACTATAGCTACAGGATCGCTTATCTCACCAATAATAGCAGACGTATTCATGGATTTTTTTTGACTTAACACTAGTAACCAGTGTGACGTGTCTGGTCCTCTCATGGGTGCAGACTAAATTCTATCAGTCAGGTTGTAATATGGCCACCATTTTGGGTAGCTCACCATCACTTTGCACGTTCATTTGATGATATTAGATGGTTGAAGGCAAACTGCAGGAAGCCTTGGACCGAATAGCTCAGTGGTAGCATCTCTGACTGCAGCACCAGGTGACGCAGGTTCGAATCTCAGAAGGGACATGAGTTCCTTCAATGTTGCAGATACGCCTTGCTGACGAGTGCCAACTAGCACGAAACCTAGGTCCAAGGCTTCCTGCCGATTGCCTCCAACCATCTAATATTCATGGATTATTGGGAAGAGAACGCACTCAAACCATTCAGGTCATCACTAAAATATTGGTGGAGATATGTAGACGACACACTAGTAATAGTGGAAAAAGACGATATTGAGAAACTCTTCTCACACATAAACAGCCACGTCGACTCAATAAAATTCACTATGGAAATAAAGAATGAAATTGGGGTACTACCCACGTTAGACTTCAAACTACAAAGAGTGACAGAAGGTAGCATAAAAATGACGATATATAGAAAAACCACACAATCTGGAAGATTCCTTGATTATCACTCAGTTCATCCACTCACGGTAAAACGAGGATTAATACAAGGTCTTGCAGATAGAATACGTAGACTTACAACAACACCAGAGGACCAGTGTAAAGAAATAAAAGTCCTATTCAAAATGCTACTCGAAAACAACTACCCTAAAGAATTTATAAAAGATAATATAAAATAGAGGGTAAAACCGGAGAATAACAAGATGGAAGAATGAAAAAAACAGTCATAATACCATATAAAAAAGGTACATCAGAGGCAATTCAAAGATATTGGCATTCGAACAACGTTTAAACAGACGAACCTAATAAAAAAATAAAATAAATCCACTGAAAGATCCCATAAAAATGATGGATAAAAACAATTTGATTCGCAAAATATCTTGCGCTGACTGTCCGACTAAATATGTGGGGCAAACACGTCCAGATCATTCAAAATAAGAGTGAATGAACATTAACGCCTAACCGGAGGTTAACCAACAGGAACACAAGCTTACAAGAATCTTGAAAAAAAATTCATCGATAGCTGCACATGCATGGGACAAAAACCACAATATCAATTGGAACAATGTATGCATTCTAAAAAACTAACATGAACAAATGGAAAGAAAGACTGATAACAGAATCGATATTCATTAAAGTCACACCGGATACATGTAACAAGGGTGAATCAGTACAACTGTCAACAAATGGGGAAAATAATAATAATGAACTACATAGTTGAGTACAAATGATAAATGTGTGAATAAAACAATTCCAACAGTGGTGTGAACATGGGCAGTAATTTTCCTCGAAATATTACTAATAACAAATAACTTATCATTGTGTGTAAACTTTTGAAATAATAATTATACTTTACTAGTAAGTAACAAATAGAAGAAAAAAATCATTAGTTTGTGAAGAACATGGTAAGGTCACCACTGACGTTTTCACGTCACTTATTGACTTAATCCTCATTAGTTATCTGTGTTCCTGTTTAATCTCCGATTTTAATGCGTCCATCTGTTACTGTGTGATGATATCGGTAATGTGCTGTGATTTCGTTTAAGTGAGTCAAGGTCAGTCTGGATTTCAGTTGTCTGCGTAAATTGTTTGTTGTATGATTCTCCTTGACAGGGTTTTGATTCCAACTTGCGTGAATATGCGCTATTAGATTCTCAGGTGCTTCATACAGCTGACATTGGTTAAATAATTCTGTTGTATGGTAATTGTTTTGTACTCGGAAAACTAGCTGCCCAACGGTATTGTTGAGGTAATTTTACCACCGGATAATTTATGATTGTTGAATGATATCACAGGTTTTATTTTAAATGGTTGTCTTTTTGTTACCTTTGGGGTATTTTGTTACGGTAATTAACTCAAAAACAAACGTTTTGGTCAGCTATACAGTAAAATGGAAAGACCAATTTTCTGCATTCAAGCTAAAACACTATCGGCTTTGGTTGTGACAATAAGTTCAATGCTTCCTGGTTCCCGGCGACTGTTTGACAGATGTCGTGTCCTCCAAAATCTACATCGTAATCAAGCAGTTTGCTGAAAACATTTATTGCTTCAGATTACATAATCTTAGTAGTAGTTAGATATATAAAGCGGATATTAAAAGGCTAGCTCGCTTTGATCATAGGTGTCTGTGTTCTATCTCCCGTATTAAGTGGTATGATTGGGTGGGCAATATTGAGGTTAGGCTTCGGTCGAGTGCTAGGTAAGGAGCGGAAATTGATCGATGAGGCTGTGAAGTTACACCGACTGAGATGTTTAGGGCATGGTTAGCCATCACATTCCTCGACGGACAATGTTCGCTGATATAGAATGGACCAGGTTAGAAAAGCGAAAGCTAGTAGTGGTGGTCAAACCAAAACATGGCTTCATTGGACAATGAAGTTTACAGTAGTTAGCTTAAGCCAGCCACGTAGGGAGGTATGGGCTTCCTGACTGGCTGGTAGCCGTCCTCAGGGTAGTAAGAACCAGTGATGACTAGAGACAGTCGGTGATATGACTCAAAGTGACCGTTCTCAATGGCTGTCACAGATGCATTCACTCCTTATGATTTATAATAACCAATAAAATTTTATTGTTATCCCATATTACTACTCTTTTTGTCTCATATCTCTGTTTATTATCTCTACTTTGAATCTCCATTTACTCTCTTCTCTTGCTTTGTGCGCTACATGGAGTGTGGCTACTGGAGCTGCTGCACATCAATGCAAAGTTCTACCATGAAGCCACTCAGTCAGTTATTACTTCAGATTATAAGTGAAAACCATACTAACAGGTGAGACTTCTTTGTAAATGCAGCCTTTCCAGCCATGAGGTAATCTTTGTATGAGTACTTTGCATATATATATATATATATATATATATATATATATATTACTTGTTTATGATGGCCATGGCAAGGACAGGGGTTGGACGTATTTCTTTTGTATACAAAGCGTGGGTTTGAGCTTTTGTATAGCTAGCGCCTCGGCTATGCCCAGATGTCTTGATTTTACTCCCTTTGATGGGTTTGATCGAATCTTGAAAAATCCTTCAAAATCATTTACAAGATTCGATCAAACCCATCAAAGGGAGTAAAATCAAGATATATATATATATATATATATATGTTCCTTCTATCTACTGAAGTAATAGCATTCGATTAGTTATGGAGTTTCGAGAACGAATGGCAGGTAGGCCAATGAAACTGTGAATTTTTCTTCGACGGAGGTCGCTAGGATGTGTGTTACGCAAGTGAAGCCATCACCTTCCTCTAAAAGCAACGTTACCTTACATTAGATGTATTTATAAAAGAGCTGGAGGTAGTCAGACCTAAATATGAAGTCATTCGATGTTGACCTAGACTAATGGCTTCAGTCATATTGGAAGAGGATTCAGCTGCCTAATTGAGATCTAAGGAATGTTAAGAATATTTCGCATAGTACTTCGTAATAAATATACACTCGTGGGCTTTGTGATTCACTTCTGTAACCACTCAACTTTCAACCAGTCAGATATAGGTTGAAATCCTGGGTCCAGACTCAATGAATCAGGATTCAGTAATCAATCTCTCTCTTTCCATCTACCTATATTACTTTTTAGAATTTAGACTCTGTCCCAACCACCCTATTGTGTGGTTGTGTGTTAATGCATGAACTGCGATTGTTGATTTTTTCAACTTACTTATCTTCTCGAGGTCAAGCATTCTTACCTTAGCTAAATTCTTATGTTCTGATAATCTGATTACCCCCGACCTACAAGTTTGACCTATGTAGTTGACCTCACAGTCATTGCATGGTATTTTGTAAATTATATTATTTTGTCTAATTGAGTTAAATGGGTCCTTAAACCTACAGAGCTTGTCCTATCTGAGTGAATGTGTAGGTTTGAATGCCACCCTAATTCCTGCCATATTAAGAACCCACTACGTAGGATTGATTGATTGATTTTTACTCATATATCTAATCAATTTTTGCTGATGTATAATAACGAAGCAGGACAGTTGTGATGTGATTATAAGCAGTAATAAATTGTGCTCGAAACGTGGTCATCAGTAAATATTACTGTATAACAATACTGTGTGACTTTATCAAAATGAATTTTATCCATAACATAGGATAAAACAGATTTGGAAGAACTATAACGGGAAGACATATACGGAAGAAAGTATAATAACATGGGAAACCCGTAGATATGGAAGGTTGCAGAGAATAAATTGATCTGCACTAGTGAGAACGACTTTGAACCATATCACTAATGATATCCAGCCACTGATTCTCTTCATCTCAAGAACCCTTACCAAGCAATGCGAAACTCTATGAGTCAGGGACTAAATGGAGTGATTTCAGGTTTTGGTTTGACCATCTTTAAATCTTTTCCAACCAAATCCTATGTCAATTGACATTGCTCTTCCAGGAATGCGATGACTGGATATGCGTAATACGTGTCCTAGACGTCACCCGCACAACTTCCTCGACCGACATATTCTCTTTATCTTATACCACACCTATCCTCAATATTTTTCACCATATCATACCACTGAGCAAAGGAGATAAAATGCAAACACTTTTGGTGAAATACATCTAGTCTTTTCATATCCTCCACTTTCAATGACAATGTTTCACGTCTATAAAAGAAGACAAAGCGAATTGCTGAGCAGTACAGACGTCCCTTGATCGATCTGATCGACGAGAGAAATGATACGTGATTTGCAAAAATTCATAAGGGATTATTAGATTATGGGGAGAG